GACTTTTGCAAAACTCATTACAGCTAATCTGACTATACTGGACCGAATTACACGCGGTTGGTACCAAATGAAAGATATTTTCCTGTATGCGCAGAATCCCCTTATAAATTAAAACCAGCTAAAAAATAAGCACGAAAGAAGAATTTGAAATTTCAAAATAATTAACATGGGGCTTATGGGTTGCCATGTTGGTAACGAAATAACAACAAAATATAAACAGAAAATCAAAACAACTGGAAGAAATTTTATTTACAGCGTGGGGTGAAAATAGAGAAGTTGGCACAATACATACTTTTGGTCAAGTTTTCAACCATGGAGCAAGCTCTCGTACAAACTAATATTATAAATGTGAAAGTTTGTGTGTTTTTATATTTGTTTGAAGTTCATAATATCCAGAGAAAGTATTGTTTGCATTGTTGTATTGTTGTAATGTTGTTTCAACCTTTATGATTCCTTCATGAATAAACTACGTCAGCAATGAATAGCACAGCAGACCATGCAAAGAAACATAGAGGAAGGTCAGTTATTTAAACTGAAATCATTTCTCCCGTTATACCCTTGGCAGTTGTACAAATATGTTTTGTACCGTTACGTTTTTAACTTTGTTGCTTGGGCAAGTGCCAACGCGCGGGAGGATTGCAATGCACATCTCTTGAGAAGTTGTTGGACCACTTAGCGAAGATACTGCAACAAAGTAAACCAGCTGTCAAACAAGGTTGTGTGGGAGTCAGACAAAGTATGTGTTGGCAAGTCCACTTACAGCTGGTGCATATCTGAGGAGCATTGAGCTCAAACCTAAATAATTTATAAATAAATCACTTAAAACAAATGTCAATTTTTTTTTACCGCACTAAAAAGTAGAAAATAATTTATAAATATGTGGAGAGAATAAATAGTTGTAAGATTTAAAATTAAAATCGCGGGGTGCATACAATAGATAATTTAAAATTACATTCACCTATTGAACTACTGTATTATCTATTGCATGCACCACTCGTTTTTCGTTTCAAATCTTACAAGTATTTATTCTCCCTACTTTTTTGTGCGTTTAAAAACGTGAAATTTTTAAAAAAGTGATTTATTTATACATTTTATACTTTTAGCCTTTATGTGTAATTATGTTAAATCTATTTAATTATTAAAATTGTTTTTATATTTAGAATCTCTCGGGAGCAGAAACTGTATTTAACATCTGCTATTTGAACTGTCAAATTGAAGTATTTACAGATGACTTCAATAAATTTATATATTTGACTATTTGCATTATTCCAAAATGTTAACATTGAAACTTTGGAAGCCACTGGGGCGTATCCCAAGAGAAATATGAGAATACAATTAATTAATATTGCATTGTCATCAATTTGTGATCTATGTTTCAAGTTTGAAGTCTCTAGCTCATCGGGAAGTTGGTTTGATATCGATTGCAACATTTGTACTGGACAAGAAAACGAGCTAATAAAAACGTTTTAAAATAGAACTGAGATTCATATTAGAAATAGAATGTCTTATACAGGGTCTTGAAAAAATAAATAAAACTGCTTAAGATAGGTAAAAGTAGATAGGTGCTTAAGTAGCGTAGTGGGAAAAAAAGCTTTATGACACCTCATTTATGAAATTTGTTGAAGAATTAAGGAAGTTATTGTCCACCAAAAAAAAAACTCTTTAAAAATTATAATATACATACAGGGTGAGTTTTAAATGAGTTCCCCCCCTACTTTTTTCTACATTTCTTAAGATATCAACTCCGGACTACGTCAGATCATTGAATAGTAGTAAGTACTTCATTTTGACTGGGTATAATTTTTTGGCCGCCATCTTGGATCCGCCATATTGGATACAAAGTTTTTTTTTATGTAAAGGTAGGGTTGTGACCTATCGCTTTAAACTACATTTTTATGCTAAATACGATGTATTACTTATTACTTTATGTATGCTTAAAAATATTGATCCATTCTAAAGTTATGAGAACTTTTTATAACATTATTTTTAGCCCATTTTAACATTGTGCATATAGAAACTAAGGACATAATCGCAAAATAGTGCTAGAAAAAGATTTATGTATATTATGTGGTGTATACTCATCTTTATCTTAGTATAAAGATGAGAGCCAAACGTTGGCTCTTTAACTTAGTTTCTAAATGCACAATGCTAAAATGGGCTAAAAATAATGTTATAACAATTTCTCATAACTTTAGAATGGATCAAGATTTTTAAAAACGAATTGCAGCATCGTATTCAGCATAAAAATCTAGTTTAAAACGATGGGTCACAACCCTACCTTTAAATTTGAAAAAAAACTCTGTATCCAATATGGCGGATCCAAGATGGCGGCCAAAAATTTATACCTAGTCAAAATGAAGTACTTACTACTCTACAATGATCTAACGTAGTCCGGAGTTGATATCTTAAGAAATGTAGAAAAAAGTAGGGGGGGAACTCATTTAAAACTCACCCTGTATAAATAGATGATTTAAATAGAATCTTCATCCATACAAAAATAATAACATTAATCCCATTGAATCAAATATTTTGTAAATTTACAGCTATATTGAAAATTGAAAGACTTAATTTGTCTTTTTTACTACCCCCGCCCTTCTAAACATAGTATTTGAACAAAGTATTTATCTAGTTTTTCATCAAAATTTTAGTTTTGGTTGGAAATTTCCAATATTTATATCTATTTTGGGTCCCCTGAACCCAAAAACGTGGTTTCCGAAGTGATGTGTGTGTGTGTGTGCATGCTATACATACTACACGTGTGTTCCAATTTTGATGAAATTTTGGTATGTGGGTAATAATCTATAGTATCTTCAGCAATTTCTTTTTTTTGTAAATTTTGGTTTTAATCGTAACTTCCCCATGATAACCCATAAAATAACAGAAAAAATTGAATTTACACAACAACTGCTCAAAAGGTTTTGATTAAAACTTAGTGATATAGTCATTTTAACTTCAAACAAAATGGTGCAAGATTTACAGTTAAAAATATATTGCAGTTTTTGTGATTTTCCCCATAAAATATCATACGTAGTTAACCACGGTGAGTTAACCCACTGATTGTCCATGATAAAGGGTTGTTGACAAGCTAATGGGAGAAAGTATGTGTCAGATGTGTGGTACTGTTTAATTAATCTGTTCAAATATAGGCTAAGATGTTTATGACACCCTCTGTCATACTATTGATGCTCACATCAGGTTCACTGTTCACTGAACACTTTGGTTGTGTTTAAATAGAGAAGAGTCTTAATTACTTGCTCAGCTTTATCTCAATTTCTCTTACTTTGATCTCTGTCTTCAATCAAGTAGAAATATAATTATAGAGAAGCCAAAGAGACCAGCACCAAATTATTGATAAGCGATTTCGATAAGCCAAAACCTCAGGATTAACCATCATTAATAAAGCCATACAATAATACTTAATTTATAATAATTAACAATATTAATTAAATTTGGTTATATACAAACTTTAGTAAGATCCTATGGTTTGTCATATATAGGAGTGAACTGAAAATATAATAGCTTAATAAATATATGCTGGAGGTGTGTTTTTGTCAAAATAGTCGTTTTCAGCACAGCTTACAATTATTTAACAAAAAAAGAAACTCCCATGGGTAGAATAATTAATTAATAAACCAAAAAACATGTGCAAACAAAAGATTTATAATAAAATGTGTGAATAGAAAATGGTTATAGGTGTTCAAATGGAAAAAATGAGCTGAGTAAGAAGTTGTAAAAATCTCATACAGTATCTTTATCCGTAGAATAATTTAATATAATTTTTTGGGTACTGCTATTACACACACCACAACAGTCAACAACAAGTCTTGTTGAAATTAACTCAAAATAATTTTGTTTTACAAGCAATTTAACTCTAGTTAATTGAAACCCTCTCCCTCTACACTGCTGTTCATTCCATTTTGCTAACCCCTTTAGACAACAGGTTTAAGCCTTTAAACGTAATTAATATTCAGAAACATTTTCTTCAAACCTGGGTCCCTTGGGTGGAGAAGTGGTTGTTAAATTTATGCTACGGTTTATATACGTTTGAATTTTAATGTAATTAAAGAATCCTATATCTGACCAAAAAGAATAGAATACTAATAGACTTTACAAAGGTTATATATTTAGTTAAATGTCACAGTTATACTGTGTAAATTTTGTTCAAGTAATCAGTCAAAGTAAGATCATCATTTCTGCTCAACAAACAATTGTTAAAACAATATAAAAACATACACTTCTGTAGGTAATTATACTATTTTATATTAACATGAAAAATATTTCTTAACAATGTTTTGTATAGGTAATCAGTTTAGTGAAATAACAAACAAATATACATAAAGAATCACTAAAATCTTTAATCAGTTGAAAGAAATGTCAATCTATAGGGAAAATCTCATGTTTTATATTTTTTTTATAAAATATCAAATTATAAATAATGTTTTGTTTTATGGCAAAAGTTTCCTCATGCTGTACTATATGTATATATATATCCTTAGCATTAATTACTAGAAGCAATCAATTCTATGAATCAGAATTGCCCCAAGAATAGCACCCAAGATTTTGCATTAATATACATGAAACTTAACATCTTAACAATCCTGAAATTAATTTACCCACTGAAGTGAATACAATGAAATTGAATTCAACCCCACGCCATAAACTGAGAACAATCTTTAGTTTTTACTTTCTCCCCCCTGGACATTAATATGGATAAGCATTTTCAGTTTTAAAATTCATTTCAGTTTTAAATAAACATTGGAAAACATGTTTTATTCTTTAACATGGCATTGTTTAGAATTATTTTTCATTAAACATAATTTTCTGACCCCCCCTTCTACACAAAATGATATTTAAAAATAGTGCTCTGTGTTTCTAAAATATGATTATTAATTCTGAAAGCTGATACTGTCAGATGCTGATAAATTATATCATGAATTAACAAAATATCAAAAGTGAGATAAAACCATGTAAAGTTTTTTAGTAAGCTGTATGAACTCAGTTGTTTAGGTATAATTTTAAATGTCTCTACACTATTGTTTTATTTGGTAATTCTTTATTCCAATATGTTTCTGTACAGTGATGAACCCCCTGAATGGGCTGCAGAAGCTAATAAAGTACAACCAACCTGGCCAAAGGTTTGGCCTTCAAAACTTGATCAAAATCCTGATTTTCAAACAGATTTTAATGTAAGTAAAATTCATTATTTTACATTAAAGTATACATACAGTTATGACATATCCTCATATATAATACGAGAAGGTGATTTTTTAAAAACACTACTACTCCGTTAATAATGGATGGATTTTTACAAATACACAAACAGCTGTCACTACAGTTCTAACTTACTTAGAAGCTTAATTTTTCTTATTTTGTAGGTAATATATGTATCTATAACCTGTAGTTTAGATTACTTTAAAATATAAAAATAAGTATTAAAAAAAATAAACTTAATATGAAAAAAACTAAAAAAATAATATGAATTAATTTTATTTTATATTTTATAAGCTATAGTTGGCTTATGGGAAAACCCATACTACAGGTAGGTACTACTGAGAGGATTGAAATAAAAAAAGTTTATTGATATCTCTATCTTAGAACTTGAGAAACAACTGCTCCTGTAAAACACATTATTTTTTTTAACTACCCCCATATAGGGGTTGAAGGTGGTGTAAGAAAGAAAAAGTGCTTACAAGTTGTGTTACCCTTAGGACAATAATTTATTTATATTTATATAAATTACTAGCTGTACCCGCGGGCTTTGCCCCGTTTTACTTCATAAGTGAGCTCGTTCGCATGGCTCAATCACGACCTGGTTGAAGTTCGTTCGCTACGCTCACTCACCTTTAGGTTGGAGCTCGTTCGCTGCCCTCACTTGCCTTCAGGTTAGCTCGTTCGCTACGCTAACTCGCCTCCAGGTTGAAGTTCGTTCGCTACGCTCCCTCGCCTTTTGGTTGCAAATTAGCTGTTGTCATAAACTAAAAAAAATAATAGTGCTGCACCCTGTAGGTAATCCTTGTAACTTTAATGCTATTGCACATCATAGAACAGAACCAACTTGTTTAATTGAAACAGCTGTTAAGATTCTTAATTCCATTTTAATATAAGTACTCATAAGGTTAACATGGGAAACTCCAGAGCCACTGGGGCGGAGCCCGAGAGTCCGATCAGAATAAAAACAACTTAGTTTTCCTATTTAATGCCTAAAGAATCAGTGTACCAAATTTCAGCCTCCTAGGTAAATGGGAAGTGGGAGAATTAGTGATGAGTGAGTGAGTGAGTGAGTGAGTCAGTCAGTCAGTGAGGGCTTTGCCTTATATATATATACTAGCGGGCCCGACAGACGTCGTCCTGTCCTATGCTTTTATGTCAAATGCTTGTTCATTTTCAAGATCCTGGTTGAAGTTCGTTCGCTACGCTCACTCACCTTTAGGTTGGAGCTCGTTCGCTGTGCTCACTTGCCTTCAGGTTGAAGTTCGTTCGCTACGCTCACTCACCTTTTGGTTGCAAATTAGCTGTTGTCAAATGTCATAAATTTAAAAAATATAATTGTGCTGCACCCTGTTGGTAAACTTATTAACTTTTAATGCTATTGAACATCACAGAATCAAATTGCTTAGTTAAACCAGCTGTTAATTTTCTTTAATTCCATTTAAATATGAGTACTCATAAGGTTAACATGGGAAACTCCAGAGCCACTGGTGCGGAGCCCTTTTGACGGATCTGCACCAAACTTTACACAAACCATCATTGAATAATGCTTAATAATGCCTGAAAGTTTCATTACAATCTGTCGAGCGGTTTCGGAGTCCATAAAGGACAAACATACAAACAAACATACATTGGATTTTATATATATAGAAGATAGATTTATTATTTATTTACATTTATATAAATTACTAGCTGACCCGGCGAACTTCGTATCGCCTAAGTTATAGGTTTCCCCTAAGACAGACCGATGGAAAGAAAGTACCGTTACGTTTAATTTTCAAGATGATCTCGTTCGCATCGCTCAATCACGTCCTGGTTGAAGTTCGTTCGCTACGCTCACTCACCTTTGGGTTGGAGCTCGTTCGCTACGCTCACTCACCTTTAGGTTGGAGCTCGTTCGCTGCGCTCACTTGCCTTCAGGTTAGCTCGTTCGCTACGCTAACTCGCCTCCAGGTTGAAGTTCGTTCGCTACGCTCACTCACCTTTTGGTTGCAAATTAGCTGTTGTCATAAATGTAAAAGAAATAATAGTGCTGCACCCTGTTGGTAATCCTTGTAACTTTAATGCTATTGAACATCATAGAACAGAACCAACTTGTTTAATTGAAACAGCTGTTAAGATTCATTAATTCCATTTCTCATAAGGTTAACATGGGAAACTCCAGAGCCACTGGGGCGGAGCCCTTTTAAGAATTTCGAAACGGGAAATAGTTTACGTCCGATTCGCATACCTACAGAATCTACACACCAAATTTCATAACGATCGGTGAAGTCGTTCCGGAGGAGTTTGCAGACAAACACTGTGACACGAGAATTTTATATATTAGATTTATTCATTATTGTAGATTTTATCTTTTAGGTAGGGTTTTCTTTAATATTTGCTATTTATAATCAAATCAAATAAAGTAAGAAACTGGTTTCCCCTCTAATTATATATCATCTCATAACAATTTTAAACTCTTGTTTTAGTTTAAGAAATCAGAGGTATGGGTGGACCCACGATACCCATTTGAGTATGTGAAAAGATTCGACTGGGGGGCAAAAGACCCCAAATTCTTTGCTCCTTTGGATACACCCTGTGAATACCTTGTTACTGAGGTAAGCAATTTTGAAACTTACCCTACCTTTGTTAGGCTTCCTTTATTAGGTGATTACAGTACAGACGAGCTTTGAAAAGCAGACTGTGAGCCATGCATGTGAAAAATTGCTTTACAGCTCTTTAAACTGGTAGAGTATTTGTTTTTACTCCTCCTATATACATAATACAGCTTTGTTTTTGTATAAAATCTTGAGGTACCTTCCTCTGTACCCTAACCACTTGTTTTCTTACTTGCACAAAATTAATACAAATATGATTTATTGACATTGAAGCATTTTAAAAACAAAAAAAAACTGATTACTTCCAATTGATTTGTTTAGGTTTTCACAAGTTATGTTTGGATAAAAAGAGTGGCCATAAATATAGTTGGCAAAGAATACCACTCACTCAATCATTTAAATTTACACCTTGAACTTTTAAAACGATTTAGAGAGTTGTCCGTATTACGCAGATGACAGGCACACATCAATGTATGTTCCATGAAGACTGCATAAGAGTCTGTCGGAAACTTCAGGAACAGCATATGACCGAAGGAAAAGATGTTCCGGACATTAAGTACAGGTTTGTAAGCTTATGAAGGTAAATTCACTTTACAATAATTAATCATTTACTCTTTGTTAGAAGTTAAGTTTTGATGATTAAAGTTTAGGTTATATGAGAGATATTATTGTGGATAATATCCCCAGCCACATGCCTTTTCCCGAAATTCCAAATGACAAAATTTAAGATTCACTTGTATATGTTTTGCAGTTTCCTAGTTGGTGGAAATGGTTTTGTGTATGAAGGACGAGGCTTTGATGTGCAAATTTACCACACAAACCCTGAAAGAGCCGAAGAGTCTTGGCAGAAGCTTGACTGGAATGGAAAATGTCTCATATTTGCTTACATAGCTCCATACGGTAGGTACATACATGCATTGGAGTATAGTGTGGTTTTACATAAGTTTAAAAAAGCTTTGCTTTTGACAAATTTGTATTTTAATTGCAAATCAGTTATGTAAAAAAATGTCAGTTAACCTAACTTCCAAGCTAGATTCTAAAAGGCAAAGAGACATTTAGTAATAAGGAAAATAGGGAAACAAGCTTAAGGAGCATTTTTGTCAAGATCTAACGTAAATTAGGTTTCAGAGAGTTGCATTATGTTTCATAATCTTATGCATGAAAATGTAAAAAAACAACACATTCTATGAAAAAAATAAACATACAGATATTAATTTGAAAGCAAAAGTATTTGAATAGATAGGGGGGTGTTTTCAGCATTTCAATATTGACTATGATAATTTAATAATATGATAAAACAATTCATAAAACATCGCACCTGTTAATGTATATTTTGCTTGTCTAGATTGATGGATTGGCCACAAAAATTCTGATCACTTTTATTATCTTTTCCAGATGAAATGCCGAATGAGAAAGCTATGTTGACAATGAGAGATTTGATAGCAATGGCTCTTGCCAAAAAGTATTTGAAGAAAGACTTTTTACGGATTCCTGGGTTTTTTTCAAAACCTGATCCAAAATTAGTGAAATAACATCTCTTCTTCAACTTTATTTAGTATACTTAATCTTACTCCTGCTGCTACTGAAAACCTAGTTGATTTTCATGGTTGATAGAAAAAATATCGTCGCTTAAGAAATAACACCGCCTAAGTGACATTTTTGGCAAAATTGAGATTTTTGTATCTCTATGGAAACCTATGCATTTTACACGTCCTTGCGACGTAGTTTAATGAAAATCCAACAGAATTCGCTGCTATCGTATTTCTTCTAACACCGCCTATCTTACTCGCTAAAAGAACACCGCCTATGTCCACCAGTTCTAACATGGTTGTCAATGAGAGAGGCTCTTTCATCCTGGTGGAGGTGTCATTTTTTTGTCATTTTAATCGACTAAGTCAAATTTTAATTATTACTAAGTTTTTCTTTGCTTTTTAAAAGACTTACAGCGAGTGTCAGTTACTGTCTTATTACAAAAAATACCACGTTTATAGTAAAATTAATAGTTTAAAATGTTAAGTGGAGATAGGCGGGGTTATGTGGTGCTCTTAAAATAAGGCAACACCGCCAATATCCCTCAGTCTAGCATTGTGGTTATGGCGTTAGAGAGCTTGATTTGACAAAATGACAAAATAATAATTGATTTATAAAATTATTTAAGTGAGTCAGTCTGAGGATTGAAAGTTTACATACGTTAAAACAAAGTTTGCATCAGTTGATATTTTTATGTCATAAATCTTGTTTAGGTGCATTCAACTATGAGAAATGTGCAAGAACGCTTTATTACTGTGTTGTTATCAGTGACAGTGTCTTGTTGCCAGTGACAGTGTGTTATCAGTGTCATTGGCTTGTTATCAGTAAAAGTGTTTTGTTATCAGTTATCAATGACAGTGTCTTGTTACTAGTAACAGTGTCTTGTTGCTAGTAACAGTGTGTTATCAGTGATGTCATTGGCTTGTTATCAGTGACGGTGTCTTGTAATTAATGACAGTGTCTTGTTAACAGTAACATTGTGTTGTTGCCAGTGACAGCTTCTTGTCACTAGTGACAGTGGTTTGTTGCCAGTGACAGTGTGTTATCAGTGTCATTGGCTTGTTATCAGTAAAAGTGTTTTGTTATCAGTTATCAATGACAGTGTCTTTGTTACCAGTAACAGTGTCTTGTTGCCAGTGACAGGGTGTTATCAGTGTCATTGGCTTGTTATCAGTAAAAGTGTTTTGTTATCAGTTATCAATGACAGTGTCTTTGTTACCAGTAACAGTGTCTTGTTGCTAGTAACAGTGTGTTATCAGTGATGTCATTGGCTTGTTATCAGTGACGGTGTCTTGTAATGAATGACAGTGTCTTGTTAACAGTAACATTGTGTTGTTGCCAGTGACAGTTTCTTGTCACTAGTGACAGTGGTTTGTTCCAGTGACAGAGTCTTTTATCAATGACAGTGTCTTGTTATCAGTGATAGTGTCTGTTATCAGTGACAGTGCCTTGTTCATGTTACCAGTGACAGTGACAGTTTATTTTATCAATGACAGTGTCTTGTTATCAGTATCATTGGCTTGTTACCAGTGACAGTGACAGTTTATTTTATCAATGACAGTGTCTTGTTATCAGTATCATTGACTTGTTACCAGTGAAAGTGACAGTTTATTTTATCAGTGACAGTGTCTTGTTCTTGTTACTAGTGACAGTGTCTTGTTATCGTCTCGTTATCAATGATAGTGGCTTGTTACCAGTGACAGTGTATTTTATCAATGACATGTCCTTGTTAGTGATAGTGTCTTGTTACCAGTGATAGTGTCTTGTTATCAATGATAGTGTCTTGTTGTTTGACAGTGTGTTTTCAGTGTCATTGGCTTGTTATCAGCGGCAGTGTATTTGTTATCACTTACAGGATCTTTTGTCAATGACAGTGTCTTAGCATCAATGACAGTGACTTGTTATCAGTGACAATGTCTTGATAACAAGTATAGTGTCTTGTTTTTGTTGACAGTGTCTTGGTATCAGTGATAGTGTCACTAAATGGGATCCTTTATGAAGCTGACAAATAACTTGTTCCTGTTCTTAGTGTTATTGAAACTAGTTGACTGAAAAAGATTTGATAAAAAGTATACTTAAAAATAAATTAAAGCCCTTAGTTTTATTTTTATTTTAAATTGGTTATAAATAAGACTTTGTTCTTTTAAAAGCCTTTACAGTATATAAATGTCTGTTTTATACAGTTTTTCGTCTTAATAAATTTATTATAAGCCATTCAAGTGTTATTTTATATTGCCTATTACCTTTAAATATGATAGAAATACCACTGATGTTCACTAAAATTAAAAGGCAAAACCGCCTAAATCCACCAGAAAAAGAGTCAATACCGCCTATCTCCCAGAAAAATGGTAAATAAACAAAAAAAACTCACAAAAGTGGTTGATAAACTCTTTTTTATAGGTTATAATGTAAATCTGAAGTAATGCCAACTTTTTAAATTATCATGGATGCAATTGGCAAGGTTTTTTCGCTCTCCTGGAAAGTTTGCTTCCTGTCACTTAGGCTGTGTTGTTTCTTAGGCGACGATATTCTACTTGTGTACTGTAAATTACAATACTGGTTTGCCTTTCTATGTCTCAATACAATATTAATAATACTAAATCACTCATACAAGAAATTAGATCGGAAATAAAACCGCACATGTTTTATAACCTTATATTTATTTTTCTTATTTAACATAACATTTATTACAGCCGATAGACATTGAAAAAATAAAAACTACAATATTTTAAAACTTAATATCGAAACAAAACTGATAGACGATTTCACAAAAAAACAGAAACAATAAATTTCCAGTAAAATTCAAAATAATAACAGCTGTGTAGTTAATATTTTGTCAATTCTATAACTGGGCAGATCGAAAAACGTTTTAGTAAGAGACAAAATTAACATATATAGGGGAGATTGAAAAAGCTATTTTCCAAACTGAGGATTAACATTAATTTACTAACCTATTAACAAAGACCTCCTAGTGAGTAGGCACTGGGTTGGTCCATCGGACCGGAACTTACTCCCAAAGTAGGATCGGAAATGAAATGAAAGTGACGAGAAGAGTCATTTCGATCGTAATGGACACAGACAGAAAGGAGACGTAAATGTTCCACAAATTTACGTGTCTTTTCTGCCGAAAAACTCTCAAACTCTTCAAACACACCCACTCTATGTCAGTTAGCCCAAGTAAAAAATCAGCGTATCAAAATATAAATAGAAAAGTAAACTAACGATACAAATTTACAAAATATTTTTAGACCTCTATACAAAAAATGTCTGGACGTTTTTCAACTTAAAAATTTGTACATCTACAACTATAAATAAAACCGTACCCCTTAAGTTTGATGGCAATGTTAGAAAGTAGAAGTGGTTAAAGCTTTTGTTAAAAAAATAGTTGGTCAATGAATGTTTCTTGACATAATAGGTATAACAGTATCACAGCCTGTTTCTTGTCTTGGTCGGTTAGTTGTCTGTTACGTCATACACAGTTGACAAGTACAAAGTACCTAGTTTGTCAGTTAGATGGGTAATAACCCATTGACGTGTTTCTAGGTTTGTCAAAATCCATTTATTTTTTGCAATTGTAGGCTAGTTGTTTGCCTACATGGGCGGTGGCCCGTTGACATATCTGAGTGTGGGGCCGAAGCCCCGGGTGATGCTGCACGCAAAGTCGTCCTCTGTGATCGGCACTAGAGACGCGACTCCCAGCATCACCAGCATGAGCGCCTGGATTGGCAAGGACGCCCTCACCACACGGCCCAGGAAGCGATAACCTCTAGCCAGCACACTGGTGTCCACAATACCCTCAGAGCTGTAACAAAACGACATCATGTAAATGTTGTAGCCTGCTCCAGAATAAAAAGAACGAAGTTGAATATAGTCACCAAACAAGTGTCTATTTTGCGCTGATGTAAATTACTGATTTCTTTCAGTAGAATCTTTTTTATTTAAACCAAACTGAATTTGTCACATTGACTTATCTCAGGAAAACTAAAACTAGTAGAGAAACGTGGAACATTTAGACAGTAGAACACTTTGACTGGCTCATTCAACCATGTTCTTTTTTGGTAAAAAAAAATTTTACAGCTCCTTCCTAATCACGACTTCTACTTCAGTGTCTAAAAATCATTGACTTTGCATCTGAGCCAAAGTTGACTTTGAATCACTATCTTGGAAAACAAATTAACAAAACATGAGACAGTTAATGAATGATCTTTGTTCATTTCATTTTCTTAGTTAAAGCTAAAAGTGAGGAAGAAAATACTGTAGTTTGCAAACCTGCAGACCCAACCAAAATCTCATGAGGAAATTGATTGTTGTGAATTGAATACATATCATTGGTTGATTCAAATTTAACTTAAACGCTTTCATAGAGTGCAAAAAAGCCTAAGAAACCTCTAAACCAATGGATCAAATGGTATTTCATGAAAAAATGTTGAATATATTTCAAAGGACAAGGGGGTGTATCATACTAATCATAATTCTATGCCAAGTTTAAACACATTCTAAGAAATCATCGTATTTAGAATGCCATAAAAGTGCTAAATTTGTGATGGCATATATATCTCTTCCTGTTGTAGATAGCAAAAATCGTAACAGAATGTATAGAAAAACTTAAAATAGAACAAAAAGAAAAAAGCACAATGTGTCGTAGATTTAGTACTTGTTGGTAAAGAACATAATTAAACTGTATTTAAGATTAGCTAAAAATATGTTTGTTTACAAAATAAACTTAAACAAACCAAGGACTAGATATTTACTTTGAGTGCAGTTGGTCGGTAGAAGATCGAGAACTGGATGCACCTCCTGCAGCTTGATCCAATAGCTGATAAAAGAAGAAAACAAGGAGGAAATAAATTAAAACGTGATGAAAACTTCTACAAACTACAAGGTGCAGCTAGGAGCAAATTGGCAGCCACTACAATCCATTCCATAACAAATAATTAAATCTTCACCTATTTTAAAATTGTCTTTTTTTAACACAATTAAATCTTCTGTAAAATAAATAATAACTGAAATGATGTCACAAAAGACCACAGTTTTAAACACTTTAAACGGTCCAATGTACTGTATTTACTTTGCTCCTAGCTTTAAGCATTGGAATTTGAATTAAAATGTCAAACTCATCAATGATGTTACTATTAAATAAAAACAATGCATTGCAATTAAAATATTTTCAAAATATTTTATGACAAATATCAAGCGATTTCAACTAAAAATACTAATCAAAAGTAATCATCAATACAAAAAGTTGAAGAAAAGAAAGAGTTTGGTTTAGACAAGAATTGAATTAGTAAAATAAATGTCTTTCAATTAGATAATATAGTTAGGTGACAGCAACTGCTAGGTGTATTCTAAAATATAATTTGTGAATTGTGTAAACTTGAGAAAGATTGATAAAATACAAATATAATTGAATATTACAGTTAATCACACCTACCTTACATATCAGTTATGATTAAGGATCTGAAGAACACCAGTTAAATCTTGACTAATTAATAGCATCTAGATTGCCAAGAATACTAAGATATACCTCATGTTTAGTATTTTCTTCATTCATGATAAATACAGTATTTAGGGCTGAAAATTCACAATCCCGCAGTCACATTTACTCACCTCGTGTGACAGTGTGGCGAGTGACGCATGTGACACGGGGTCACGGCCCAGCACAGCACCCAGTTTGAGCAGATATGACGCCGTGAGCCGTGTAAGACTCTGCAGACGCAGACGCAGATGTGTGAGTCGCTCACAGGCATCTGTGTCCACGGACTCACTGTGCCGCAGCAGGTGACACGCAGCTTCCTGTAGTGACATAACTCTCGGCTCACATACCTCCAGGTCGTGACGCAGATCCTGCACAAACATGTTAGAGAGTTAACGTTGAGTTACAACTATTATAATATGGATTTGTTTTGATAAAGGGGTGGAGTTCAGCAAGCTTATTGGAGAAAAATAGAGTCTAGAGACTTATTACACAAATACAAGATGATGAAACATTATACTGATACAAGTAAAAAAGAATCACGTTATTGGTTCAAAGAAATTATGTTCGTGTAACAACATATTCACAACTGTTTGAGCTGTATACAAAGATAGATACCTATTTTTAATTATTATTATTGTTTTTATTATTATTTATAATTTAAAAAATATCATAAATGCACTGTCTCACGTTGCCAGAAAACTATTTTGTTAAGACAATATATAGTGTGTTCAATGGTTACTGAGAAAATATGGAGTTTTAGTAAAACTAACTTTTCTAAAACTACTGTGATATGATGAAAATCCACTTCATTGCCAGGAGATGTATGTAGTAGTTGAGTAAAGTAATTGTCATATTGTTTTGTAAAATAGAAACTCTGCTTCTCAACCCCTTTAGATAAACATGCCTCAAAATTTGGGTTGGTATATACTATTATTTACCTTGAACTTGTTGTACTTAGACTCGATGACTTCCCTTCCCTCGGCAACATCCACAGGCTCCATCTGCTGAATCTGAATCTCCGTCTGCTCCAGCCATTGAACCAACTCATCTATGGTCTCGTGAAACTCTGGGTTCTACAAATTTTAAACACATAAATCAAATAAGTAACTATGAAAATAATACGAGTTACCACATATTAATCTACGTAATACTTATTGAAAATAATGCTTGGTTTTGGAATATGAGAAGTTTTACAAGGAAATAGTGCTTTTACACAATATACCGCCATGGCATCAAATCTATCTGCTAAAGAAAAAAAAAAAATCATAAACAGTATAGATTTTATAGCAGTTCTATATGTATTGAAATGTGATTGTTTTTGACACGAGCCGCATTGTTAGCACACTAATGGACTTTTGGATATACTGAAATAGACAACCTATCTATGGATGATATTAGCACATTCAGTGACTTAAGTCATCTAGCTTTGTTTTAGTTTTAAAACTTTACTACTTGAATATAATAATAATAGGGTGTCTACTCAACAGGCAAAGGTGCAATGTACAGGGAGTTTGGACGACTATGTAGAAAGAATTTGTTTTTTGAACAAAAATAACTTGGCTTGAAAATACATTAAGGAGGGAGGAATATACACAACTTACTTGCCTCAGAAAATAGTTGCAGGTGGTTTAAAGCACACAAAAATGGTAGTTGTCTTGTAAAAGTTCAGTGAAATTAGTAAGGACTAGGAAGTACAATTTAATTATGTCTTCTGGACAACATAACAAAAACCACAACTTAACTTAATCTGAAAACTATCAGAATTTCAACAATGTGCACAATGTTACCTGCAATAGCGACGTCTGTAGTCGAGTCTCCCACCGGGCAGCCTCCGCGCACACATTGTCCCAGCGTCGGTTGATCTCTGCCAGGCGCTCGGTCATGTCACGTGCGCGGGCCTCGTCCTCAGTGTGCTCGGCTAAGTGTCGGCCGACCGTATTCAGTGAAACTACCAGTGACTTGTGGCTATCCAGGTCCAGTAGGAATTCCTACAAGAAAAAACTCGGTGTAAAATAGGTTATACTGAGTAAGAAAGTTGTTTTAAGAGAATTTTAAGTAAAAATAAAAAAGTATAGTAAATATTTTGTTCTTCAACCGCATTAATTTTGCATTTTCTGAACAAAAAGTATTTGAACAGGTATTTTCGTCGTAGAAGGTATGTTCGTATTTTTTTAAAGTTGAAAATATCATAAATTTCCAAGATTTACCAACTCATCAATAGAGATTGTCTAGTGGTAAACAGCAGGACTTAGGTCCCCAAGGTCCACCCAGGTTCGAGTCCCGCCAATCACCAATGTACTTAGGATATGTGAAGATGGATCAGATACAAGTAAGAATTTTACCAACATAAGTAAATAGTATCATACCCTCTGGTCCTGTATGACATCCTCCAGTTGGTTGATGTTGGTCGGAGGCGAGGTCTGAGCACCCTGTGTTGCCTCTGCATACTCCAGCCACTTCTGTAGCCTCCACAGGTCGTTGTCCAGCTGTTTCCAGTTGCGGCGAGTACACAGCGGACAAGTGAACCGACCTGACTCACTGCGAACATCAACACAACGTGTTAAGTGAAATGTCACTGTAATGGCTTACCATGAGACCTACGGTAATAGATTATCCCCTCTTTATTGGAAATTCACAAAAAATGGCATTTCCATGTTTTAAAGGTAAAAATTTCAAACAAACAATTTGAAACATTTTCAAAACCCTATAATACATTGTTCCTTGGGCCCTTTATTGCTGGTTAGCACACTCATTCATGTTTATACTGCCAAGCTAAATTTTAACAAAATGGGACCAAAATTACTTGAGTTATCCAGTTTACAGACACAAAAAAACTCTTCTTATACTGTTTCTGTTTTCTTTTACTGTTATACATATATAACAATTCAAACAAATAGTGTTTTTGGCCTCTGAGGAAATCAAAATGAAAAAGTAAATTGGTCCCAGGCCTAGTTCTTACTGTGCCACCTACGGTAATGACTACTTATTCGCTAATATAATCTCATATTTTTTACTCATAGTAAACCATAAGAAAAACAACCTAGAACTAACAAGTAGAAAGGTAGATGGTTTAATACCCAAATTTAACTTTGTAAATTAAAGTAAAAAATTACAAAAAAACACTCTTTAAACATTTCAGAAAACTTAATTAAAGTTTAAACAAATTAAAATATAAGTTACCTGATTCAAAAAATTAGCATACTAATCCATTGAATTAATTATGATAAAAAAGTAGTAAAAAATATCAACAAAGTTACAGAATTTCACTTAACTGTATACAATAAAACGTGTAGGAAGACTCGTCTGTAGGGCACCTGTAAACAAGTTTTTGTGTTTAGTGTGTTAGTAGCTGCACTAAACAAAGCAGTTAGAAAGCTACAGGTTAAACAAGACAGCAAAGCATTGAATTTTTATACAACGTATAAAATTAAGCACGGACAAACTATTTATCTAAAGCCAAACATCAAGTTTAAACTAAGTAGAGCAAAACTAGTCAATCTGAAAGTAAATGTATACTTATGTTTCAAGTTTGTTTTTTAAAAAAACAAGTTATGAAAGAATTTGAGGAGATTTCCTGCAGGAAAAATACCCAAATTATTTTTGTTTAAAAAATATTTGTTATTCACGCTTTGTAAAATTAAAATTCATTGCAGAAAAGTATATAGGCCTAGTACAGTTATTATGATCTAGAAAATAAAAATAAAACATTAAAATTGTTATCTTAATCTTTCACCGAAACAACATTAAAAACTGACTAAGAATTTTGATAACTAAGTTTTTGTTAACTTTTTAATCAGATCGCAAAGTTTTTTTTGTCACAACTTAATATTAAAATTATGTGTGAAAAGCATTATTGAGGCAAAACTTTATGAATATTAAACCATACTTGCAAATGCATTTTTTATAAATCCTTCGGTTCAGCTTTTTAGGTCTGCTTAACCTCTCAGTCAAATAATTCACCAATTATCAATTATTTAATAGTTGCAGTAACAGCCTGCTGATTTGTACTCATATGTACATCTTCAGGTATGAAAAAAGACAAGTTATGTTCCTAAAGTTAACGATAGCCTCTTCTTCAAGGGACCTGACTTGACAACTTGATGTTTTTGGACTTGACTTTTGGACTGTGAATAAAACAGCTGTAGTGAATGCAGCTTTGCAGTTTCTCCTACAAAAAACACCAAAAGATGTTGAAATAATACAGGGAGGCCTAAATAGCCTTACGTTTTCTTATTTCAATGATTTACATAATTAAAATATGATTTAAGCGTTTTGTGAGGAAAAATTACAACACTTTCGTTATATTTCTGGTATATCTGAATGAACCTGTCTTACGCCAAAGTCTGGGACGGTAACCACTAGTCTAGCAACACACTCTTTGGAATGTTTTCAAACATTCACTAATTTCATGCAGTTAGTTGAGTAAAAAGTAGAACAGTTGAGACTAGTTCTGTCTCTCACCTGAGTTCTCGTCTCTCCCTGTCCTCGGCTTGTTTCTGAGACAACAGCTGTTGGTAGCGCTGCTCCAGCTGGAGTACCTCCGTGGAGCTAGCCTGTTGCTCCGTAGCTCCACATTGCTCCATCAACAAACAGCTCAGATGCTTCACCAGATCCACACTCGACTGACATGCCGCCACACACTTGGCCTACAATGTAAATCACAAGTTAGCATAACAAAGTTAGTGTTAGTCTTTCACTAATTGTTATGGAAAATATCTTAAAAAATAATGTCTTAAATAACTTGATCCCTATTGTTAGGACAGTAACACAATGGAGTATTTTAAGCTGTAATATTTCACATCACAAAATAAAGGTTAAGTTTATGTTTAAAAATATTTATATATATTTTTAAACATAAACATAACCTTCAGTTTTGTGATGTGTCTGATGATGTCAGCATAGCTGGCGAAAGGCCTCATGAAATGAATTTTTTTTTTATATTGGTGAAGTTTTTATTTTAAATTTATTTTAATTCCAATATAAACATAGTTCTTCTTGAAGATAATTTACATAGTTTGAAATTTAGTATCAGTACCAAAGTACTGCGAAATGTATTACAAATTTACATTTTGATGTAAAGAAATCAAAGGGAGCACATATTAATTTTTTAGTCACAAGTTTGATCAGTTTTCCATGAATGGATCAGTTAGGTTGTACTTGTACACTATTTCACCTTATTAAGGCTTAAGACAACAGCCTTGGTGATATACCCATTGGTTGATCACGGATTGGTAATAAAATAAGGGATCAACCACTAGACTCTGTGGCATTGAATGGCATTGAATTTCAATGGTTCACTGAAATTTAAATTGACTCTCTTAGTTAGTAATTCAGATTACTCACAGAGTTTTGAGTTGTAAGTTTCTCAAGAGTGGCCAGCGTGTCAAGGTTGGAGTTGCACTCATTGATGGCCGTCTGAAGCTCATAGATGTAAGCATCTCGCCGCAACAGGGGTGTCGGCAGAGTGTTGACCTGCACAGACGTGTCAGTCTCAAACCTCAGCGTCTCCACCTGCACCTCTTCATGGACAACCTGCAAACACCAACAAGAAATTTAATGAACAAAATTCATTCGCTTGCATTTATGCATAGCTTGTACTTTAATCAGTACAGATGAATAGTCAACATATCATTTAGGTGAGTCAGTTTTTTTGTCGGTCAACATTTTGGTCATACCTCAACTGAAGATAGAAAAGTAGTTTTACTGAATAAAGAACCCTCTACTATACTAAGACTAGAAAAACAATCTTACATTTCTCTTTCGGCACTCCTCACGGCAAGCCTCGATGAGTTTCTTCATCCGTTCCATGATGTCCTTCCATAACAGCTGGTACTCGTCCACCATCAGCTGCACAGAGGAGACGTCCTGGGGCAAACAGCTGTTCATCACGTCTAGACCCAGTTGGTCGGCCCTCTTCAGCAACTCTCCTTGGCTTTCCAGTTCTCTCTTCAACAGCTGAAACAGTAAACTACAGTTAAAATCACACTGAAATAACACTCCTCAGCTAAAGTATACAGATCACTCCAAAGGTGATTGTTTAAAGTTGCCAAGTACTTAGCCTTGTACAGTTGTACAGTTGAATTAAAACTCATTTCCATTCTAGCTCCTGAGCTGTAATATTCAATATGATAAATAGGTTACATACCTTATAAATCCGACAAACAGCTAATTTTTATTGAAGGTCGTTTACATGTTTCGGCTTGTATCGGCCATTGTCAAAACGTCGCAGTTGGATGGTGAAATCCTTGTCATTGTTTCCTACTAAAAGTACATACACAAACACACATACATGGACAAGACAAAGACATTACGAAAACGAATAATACTTTTAATAGGCCTATTATGTGAAATACACACATCCTGACCTTGAAGACGGTGTGCGTCTTGCCCGTGTATTTAAAGTAATATGCCTTTTAAAAGTATTATTCGTTTTCGTAATGTCTTCGTCCCGTCCGTGTATGTGTGTTTGTGTATAAGGATTTCACCATTCAACTGCGACGATGGCCGATACAAGCCGAAACATGTAAACGACCTTCAATAAAAATGAGCTGTTTGTCGGATTTGTAAGGTATGTAAACTATTTATCATATTGAACAGTTGAGTTTATCTTAAGTAAATAGTTGCACTAAAATGTATCAAAATCCTGCCGAATATTTGTTTGCAGTTTTATATCAACCATACCCAATTAAGTAATTTATTTACCATCACTCATATTTTTGTCCTTACTCAATTAGAGTGGTAAGTGAGATGTGGATGCATTCTTGCATCCTTCCTCCCACATCACTTTTTTTACAGTAATCTCAACAATATAATGGTGTTAATTTAACTTTGACACCACTAACAAGTGACTCTAAGTGTTGTTGGAAGCTTTTCTGTCTCTCTCATCATCGTCCCTACTGGTAATTTCTGATTGAATTGATTTACAAGTATTCATTTCATATTAATGAAGCAATATTTACAATTTTGATCACGGTTGGCATTTCAACCTTAACGTTCAAGCAGTATTTAACTCTTCCGAATATTGTATATGAACTGATCTTTCCCAAGATGTAGATGACTCTTGAATTAACATTTAAACTGCAAATATATACCCAGCAAGAAAATTTATAAGCCATTGCAATGCAACAATTACACAAAAATAAAATAACAAACAGCTGTTACACAAGAATAAGAATTATTAAATATAAACATGTGAAAAGGCATAGATCATTGGGCAAATTTAATCTGAGATTATTACATGATCAGAAGAACATTTAACACCTAACCATTTAGAAGAATTTCTAGGATGTAGGTGTATTACTTACCATCAGCGCCTTCAGTCTGTTCTTGTAAGAGTCAATATCAGCGTTGTCTGCAGTCTCCAGCAAGTCTATCTGAGTCAGCTGTACGTCAACATTGGTCAAGGCTAATACAGCTGCACCATGAGCCTCTGTAAACCTGTCAAAACATTACTTAATTTAACACCGATGTAATTTAAAAATTATATTTTTTTTATTAATGAACTTCCATTAATTTTGCTTGGTTAAACCTTAAAAAGATGGTATAAAATCTACTTTCAAATGATCTAATGTAAAGGATATAGCACTTGACTTCTAGAATTTGAAAGCAAACCATAAGCAGTATTATAATCGTTTAGGTTTCTCCTGAAAATATTTTTAAGGAAAGAAGAAGTCCTAAAGTAGTAAATTTAAAAGTTTATTTAATAATTAAATAAGGTAAAAATTCTTAGTGCAGCAAGTGATTTATGTATTGTACACACAAAAAATATGGCAGTAAAATAATAAGATAATCGTTGATTTTGACGCAATTTGATTTTGATCCACTCAGTTTTTATTAAACATGTTAATATTCAACCTAAAAATCGTCTAGCATAAGAAAGTTTTCTTTTGCACATGTTGATTTACCTCAACCACCGGTCCTGTGCCACATGCAGTCTAGTCAGCAGGTGATCCGCCCGACTGCGCAGTGCAGACCACTCTGCTATCCTGCTACGTGCGTCCGTAGTTAAGCTGTCCAACGAGCTCTGTGTAGCCAAGGCAGTGTAGGAGGATTGTAGTAGCTCCAGTGCCGGTCGTTGACACTCCACCTCGGTCACCACTCTCTGGGCAAACAACGGTGATTTAGAGGCAGTGAAGTAACGTTACGGAATAAGCCTCATGAGCTCACATGGATGACTGACCAAAGTGATATGATACTGCTAGTATCCAATGAGCAATGTCTGGCTAATTGAGCTAGGTAGCCCAGTGGTAGCGTATTGAGCTGATACACCAAAGATTGTGTCCGTCAAGTATTGTGATATGGTTTATTTTGGTTTATTTTGTGTTAATAATAGTTTTCCTTGGAATGAACCTGGGTTGTTGAATTTGCCCCAATATCGAATACGGCAGTATTGGAATTTAATTGTAACTAAGAATTCAAACACAACAAAACCATGTTATAGTCCCCACCTCCACATCGGTGATCAATCCAGGTATGGCTTGTATCTGAGCCTCGTCTGTCTGTGTGGCTATTCTGTCTAGAGCCTCAGTCTGCACACGCAGCCACGCAGCCTGCTGCTCACACAAACGCAGCACTTCCTGAAGTAACTGCCATGTCCGCAGCAGCTTGGCTTTCCGTTCTGTCACTAGCACGCAGACGTTTTTCCACCTTCAACATAACAGTTCACAAACTTTGCTGTTATGAAAAACAAAACAAGTTTAACCAAAATATATTAGGAGTAGTGACACACAAGTCAAAACGTGTTGGAAGTAGGTCTAAGTACAATGTTACTCTGCCAGGATGGGTGGGGAACCAGGCTTAAGGTTGACAAACTTGCTGTGATTAAATTCAGGGAGAAAACTTTTCTAGATTAATACAATAAAACCAGAGTACAGTAACTGAGAAAACCCAAGACATGACCCAACCAAATCTCTTCCATCAAATTTGACAAATATTTTGTCATAACATTAAGTGTGTGCCCTTAGAAACACTAAATAGCTAAAAGTTGTAAATATACAAAACGTTTTGGTTTCCTTATGATTTGGTAGCTATAATTCTGTTGAGTATCATACAGACCTCCTCTCTAGCAGTTGCATAGATGTGGAGATTCCGTCAGTGTTAAGTTGTACATTGGCTGTGTCACAGTCATTCAGCAGAAGTTCACAATGATTCAGTACATCTGCTACTGTACCACTGTGCTGCTCTATGTCCTTGGTCAGAGCCTGCAGTCAAATACAGTTTTGGTTAAAAAAAAAAAAATATGTTCATAAACTTATTATTTTAAAATACATTTTAGTACCGTAACAGTTGAATTCACCTTGTAACTAAAAGTTTGTAAGAAACTTAGCACCCAATTGATAATGTGTATAGGTATATGAAAAACAACACATACAAATTAAACAGAAACTACACGCATTAATGACAAAAGTTTAATTTAGAAAGCAACAGATCAAGATAAACGAGTCAAGAGAGAAAAATTTCTAATTTTAGAAGTTCTACTTTTTGAAGAGTATTCAAAATATAAACTAACATGAGGGAATAACTCCTTCAGTTTGAAAACCAATTGTAATTTTTGACCATAGATTTACAAAAATCATAGTAAATTTTTATGGTCTAAGAGTCACATCATGCTGATCATCTTTCTGTGCCTGCACAACATACTGTAATACCATACTCACATCATGGTGGGCCATACACTTGTCCAGCCCAGCCTGTGTACAGTGCTCGAGTATGATCGGTGTGGCGAGTTGAAGTTCTATCGAATGTAACCAGCCTCTCAACTCTTCTATCCTTTGTTCTAAGGAGCTCATGCCCTGAAACGGTTGTTGATTTAGTAAATAACCTACACAGTTTGAGGTACTGTGGATACTGCAAGTAGACTTCTCATCATGTCACAAAATTTGAAGCATGTTAACAATATTTCAGGTAATTTTAAAAATAAACTTGTTGTACTACTGTTCAGAACTTACCTCAATGATCTGTCTAAGCTTATTGGCTCGAGAACTTGTCAATTGTTGGACTCTCTCCCACGCATCGTTGACTGCTGATAATCTGTTGGCAGAAAAGAAAATGTTGTTCATACATATTTTAAAAGCTTATTTGTATAGAGAACACAAACTAAAGCTGAAGGGGTGTGTTAACACACCTGTGTACTTTTGACGATATATAGCTAAAATTAATCAACATTTTTTTCATTTTAATTTTCAATTTTTGTAAAATTTGATGTGATCCACCAACAGATTGTGCTGATCTAAATGACTAATTTCTGTCAAATACATGAACTTTTTTACCAAGTGAAACTGATATGACCTATTATGAGCTATAGCAACTGATATAAACCACCAACTTTGTTAGCAACAAAAAATAAGGTAGAAAATATAATTTTAGACACTATCTTATTCTCTAACTGGCTCACAACTATGTTCTAGTTTGGTAAAAAATGGTGACAGCTGGTCCATATAGATGGGAGTCAATGATACAACTTTCTTCAAACCAATACTTTTCCAATGTTGTTCTACACACAGACCTGGCAGTGAGATGGGCCCGGCGAGGTGTGGCATCCATCCCTTCAGCCTCCACCAGTTCTGCGCCACAGTCTTGCAGCCACTCCGCCTCTCTGCGCCGCAGCCCCACCTCGGCCTCCAGCTCTGTCTCCAATCTGCGTAACTGGTCTGCGGGCTCTCCTGCGCCTCCGCTGGACAACCCCTCCAGTCTGCGGTCAACACCTCCGGCCCACACCAGGAACCTCTCCGCCCTGTCACAATGAACAGCTTGTACTACTGTGTTGCTTTTCTTAAACATGATTTTATATAGGCATTTTATATATTTACAATGTAGGCCTATATGAAGAAAGTATTGTTTCGTTAACATTTTTGGGTAATGTAAATATCTTGTTTTTTTAAAGTTATGTTTGTGTGTGTATGTGTGTGTGTGTGTATGAATGTGGACAAAGCTACATATTAAACCCGTGATTGATGAAATTTGGTGTGTGAGAACTAATACATAGTATCTCTGAGGAAATTTTTATTTTATTTTTTTTTACTTTAAATTTTTTATGCACCCATATTTTTCATAAAACCCCTTAAAACAGCAGAACGATATATACAACTTTGATTGAAATTTAGTATTTAATGTCCGCTTACAACCTGAACAAAATTCAACGTCCCTAATGCTGTAAAAATTAAGGTTCAAAACCCTTTGCAATTTTTATATCCTCCCAATTAACTTTAATACAAATCTACAGCTACAGACGACACCAGCGGTCTTGTTTTTAGTTTTTTTCCCATAAAAGAAGGATATTCAATTTTAATGGTAAATTCATGGGAAAAATGTGTCAGTTTGTTGATACTATGTATTTTTATATTTTAAAGGTTAAGTGTACTGAAAGGGCCCCTGGTTTGCCTGTTGAAATAAAGGATTATCATTTGATTTCACCCTATAACTTTCCACTCAGCTGTTTACCTCTTGTCAAACATCTGTCCCTGGCGCAGTCGCTCGTCCAGCTGGTATATCGCCATGTCCAGCTGATGCTCCAGGTCGCCTTGTTGTTGCTGTAACAGCCACACCCTCTGACTGACTGTCCTCACATCTACAGGGTCCAACGATTCCTTCAGCTGTTCCTGAGTCACTCCTAGCAGTTCCAAGTCTTTGGACACGGCAGTCACCCGTTCCCTGGCAGCCTGCACACAAGAAGTATGGTTCAAGCCAACCAATGATAACTGTAGTATAAAACGAAGTCATAATCAACCCATACTGAATGGACAACTTACTGTAAACTATATCTGTCAAAGTGTCAAAAGATTGAAAGAAAATAGCTTTCACAGTAGTGCACTCAGTGAGCAGAAAATTTATCTTTGTTCTCTTTGAGCGAAAAAAAAGAAAAAAAAACTGGGTCTATCTATATAGATGGGATGACAACTTCAGTATTCAATATCAAAGATACAAAGCGATTCTCATCAGTTGATTGAGGTGGGCATTATTTAACACAATAAGATAGATAATACTGTTACTGAAGTGTCACTTATAACCTTGGTAACAGATTACTGAGAATACCGGTACGGTACCCTATTATTTTTTATCGTCTAAACTGTTATGACGAGTAAGTGAAATAAAGCTGTTTGCTCTTCCTATGGACAGCGAGAATCTTGAAATGAGAGCAACAGTCTATCTAAGGAACTACTGATGAAGAACATCCGGAAAAAAAACATGCTAGACAAGAAAGTAATAGGTGACAAAAATTTATTTTTATTTCGCCTAAAACAAAAAAGCTAACGAACGTTTCTGACTATTATTGCAAATCAACGGTATTTCCTGTTTCTTCTAAGACGGAGTACCTTGAGAGTGTCTAGTCGCTGCTGGAGGCCGTGATGTCCAGGGGGTACACATCCGCCCTCCACCACACTGTCCTCCAGAGCTACATGGATGTCACTAAATGTCCTCTGCACTCCCTCCACCTCTCGCTCATACCTCTCCGTCAGCTCTCGCAGACTCCTTAGGAAGTTCAGCCTGCAAACATTCATTATTAAATCCTTGTTTGTTCTTTTGCAGCTAGTGTCACTGGAATCTAGTGGTTTTTGGCGTCAACTGGAGATTGCTGTCAGATGTTTTGTTCTGCCTTTAGAAGAGGTATCCTCAGTGACTAGACCTCAGCCAAGCTGATGAATATGCATCTTCAAAGTAAGGATAAATCATATGGCAGCAATCTCCAACAGTTCAGGGAGTTGATCCTGAAACCCACTATGGATTCTAATTCACAAATTAAGTTTTAAGTACTGTTCATTAGTTTGTTTGTTAAAATCACCAAGAGTCATTGGCACAGTAAAATCTCTCACATCTAACCACTAGTATAGGGCAACAATGGCCAGATAAACCAACAGAGTAAAAACAATACAACCCCAATCATAGACTAATAGACTCGAACCATTCAGTTTCCTTATTTCAGGTTATTAACTAAAAAAAATCTAATACAAGTAAAGACAAAAGAAGTTATTGTAAGGAAACACACTAAAAACTAATGTTGTTTGTCAAACCTGTCTAAACACTATTTCAACTGGATCAAAGCAACAGTGTGTAACAACACATAACTATTCATATTTTACAATTCTTTCACACCTAAAAACAAAAATACCCTCGCCGCAGCAAACCTGCAGACTAAGCGAATTTCCATTTGCCTAATTGGATTTACACTAAAATGTCTCCTTAAAAATATCACATTTATTCCCTATTTAAATCAAATCAGTTTAACACATACTTAGGTTTGCTGCAACAGGGAGGGTTAAAGTGTTTTTTTTTTTGTAAAATGTTATAAATAGTTAGTAAGAAATAAAAACATTTTCCAAATTTGGGCAAAATATGTTAATAAAGCAAACTACAACAGTTTACTTATCCTCCATAAGAATAACATAGGAATTTTAAATTTACAACTTTTTTGAATTTTTTCCGTAACCATTAGGCGCATTATAACGCTTCAATATACTAAATTATTTGTTTTTTTAAGCTCTACAAAATAGTTTGGAAAGAAATTGCAAAAATTTAAGTTTTTTGGGTCAAAAATGGGAAAAACCCATTTTTACCCCATAAAAGCCCCCATAAACTCCCGTTCCCATGGTCCGATCATGCTGGTTTGCGAACTCGTTCGAATAAACGTAGGTTTACACGTTTGTACCAAATTTCATCAAAATCGGATCATTTTTGCTCGAGTTATCGCGCTAACGGACACATATATATATATATATATATAAATAAATATATATATATATATATATATATATGAATTTGACCGGATGCTATTTTTGGCCTCTAGGGACCTCAAAACAAAAAAAAAATCGGTCCCAGGTCCAGGTCTTACCATGAGTACTACAGTAATAGCTTATTTTCCCTATATGGAAAATTCGCTAAAAGGGAATGCTTCTAATGGTAGACTGTGATCCCCAAGTCGGGGGTCAAAATCCTGCTAACCACCAATATATTTTAAGCTACAAACCTCTAGACGTAGCCTGGAATAACGTGAAAGCGGTCCCGGGCTAGAGCCTAGCGTCTTAGGATGTGAAAGTGGGACAGTGAAAAAATGACAGCATTATACGCACCAAGTGTATAAAGCAGCTCTCATGCTGTTGATCTTCTCTGATACGGCTGCATGTTCCAACCTAAGTGACGTCGCCAGAGTCTCATCACAGAACTGACAAAGTTGTTGAAGCAAAACTCCCAGCCTCTCGGCCTTCTGCTCACCCTCCGGCAACTTGTCTAGCATTATCTGCAATAAACATTAAGGTTATGAAATTATTGACTTATTGAATATCTTAAAGTTCCAGTAAACCGTAGAAATACCATTACTGCTACCAACACAGTACCGAGAATTTGTAAGTATCTATTTTAGTTATACCATATCATTGAATATTACATACCAAAGTAAATCTTCCATATAGACTAGCTGCAGGCCTAACCAATTTATATTCAAACAAAATATTGTTGATCATGCCACTCATAGACTGCTGACAAGTAAGTCTACATCTACGTTAGTTTTTTATCATGAAATTTGCTCATTTAACAACACTCATCCTTACTCCATATTCTCCCTTGAAATTTGCAAAATACTGCACTGGAGTGTACCTATATAAATTAAATTCACATTTTATTTTATTGTTTTTAATAATATGTCTTTGTATTTTTACTTTACAGTATTAACTTAAAAAAAATCAACTTTAACACTTTAAAGTTTCTACTGTTGTACAAATCCTACACTATGTGTGCCAGTAAACAATGGGAGAGGATTTTCATTACCTGTATCTTCTGGATGGTGTTAGGTATCATCCTCATGTGGACATATCTCAGCCTCATCCTGTTCTTCTCTTTCTCCGTCTCGGTCAGCCAAGCTAGCAGAGATTTGTGTTCGTTGCGATATTGGTCCCAGACATTCATGCGGTTGCGAACCTTCAAAATACAAACCAATTTATATTCATCTTGAGAATTACACTTCTTTAAATCACTAGGAAAAAAATGAAATTTTAAATTGAAATTTTAAACAACAACTTTAAAAGTTAATGTCTACAATAAAAACCTGCTAATCTGGCATACAATAATACGGTACTATCAATAATCCTAGATTAGTTTGAAGGTCTCACATCCTTTTAAAAAATGTTTAGGCATATTAGTTTGATCAGCAGAGTCAAGAAAGTTATATTTTAATTTTATTAATTTTTTTTCATTTTATATCACTATTGAAAAAAGGGAAAACACAATCAAGTACAGGATTATGGTCTGCCAACCAACGATTTCCTTTTGACACTCTACAATTAGTGGTATTTTCAATAGTCATGCAGTAACGGCTAGAGAATGTTCAGTAATCCAACATTTAAAAAAAGCTCTCGAATCTGCCAAAGTCCCAACAGGCAGATTAACAAGCGTATACAAGTCATGCAGTAACGGCTAGAGAATGTTCAGTAATCCAACATTTAAAAAAAGCTCTCGAATCTGCCAAAGTCCCAACAGGCAGATTAACAAGCGTATACTGTAGTAAAAGTATGAGTAAAATCCAAATAGTCAACAAACAATCTGTACGAATAAAAGTTTGTTTTGGTATACCTGAGCCTCCCGTTCCATGATACGAGCTAACGTTTCATTGTGCAGGTTGGTAAGACTGTTAAACTGCTCTGCGACTGACAGCTCCACTGACGCCTCAGGTTTGTTCAACAGAGACTGTTGACTGCTCAGTAGATTCTGGTGAACCTAGAAAATCATCTTTCCTATTAGTCTATCCGGTTTGTGTATTCAAAAGAAATAATGAAAATTATTTTTGCTAAAAACTAACTGGATTATAAAATAAACTGTTCAAGTAATTAAGCCATACTAAAGCTAAAGCCATACTCCAGGCCCCAGGCTACCAAATGTCTTATGTAGATCATTTCAGAATAAAAAACAGAAGAAAATAATTTGTATGGACAATAAATATTTAAAAAGACTTTTACATTTACGTTGTTAAGGTTTTCTTAATAGTATCCGAATAGACCTTTTTAACGGTTTCTTTCAAACGATTAAATGATTTGTAAAACTATGTCAATTCATCTGACGGAAACAACAAACATTGATAAAAATATCTAAATATGTTCTACAATGAAAATCAAAACTATAACTTTTTTGTAGAGCATTTTCTAAGGGCTAACTTTGTCTATGACTATACAAAGTTGTAGAGCTACAAGAATTTCATAAATTTACACATACAAAGATCTACTGAACAATTTGACTCACCTGACAGAGGTTCTTGTGCTCGGACAGTGTGTTGTAGTCGTCAGGTATGGCGGAGGTGAGGAAGGTCTGAACATGCAGCAGGTATTCCTCCCAAAGCCGTAGAGCTTCCAGACCCTCCTGGTTGTGGACCAGTCGGGCGGAGAGACGGTGGTACTGCTGGAACGTCTCACGGAACACCTGCTGCCACAGCTGCAAACAAAACAGAGTATATACCACACAGAACATAACAGATACTCCTCCTGTAGCTATAGAGTTTACTAGGAACGTTCTCAGAAGGGTTAATTTACTTCTTCATGAGCTCACTAAATCTGATACGTTACCTCTATATCAACCCACTAGTTTTATTTTATTTGTTTAGTTTCCATACCCAATGTACAATGTACAATACACTGTCAATTTCCCGATCAACAGACCAAGAACACTACCTGCAGAATGCATAATATGATAGAGATATACTGCTTGATAACTTTTCTAACAGAAAAAGTTCTAACATGTTGGCTTTACATAAATTTAAATTTTCAAACAGTAGTATAAACTCACACCAAAGTTGATGTACAAATTTCATCTTCCCTCAAAGTTGAACAGATCCAAGGACAATACCTGCAGAATATCCATGACAGAGATGTCCTGTTTGGTAGGTGGCAGGTCTGCACTCTTGTCCCGCAGCGCCTGTATCTGTCCGTCAGTCTTCCCCAGAGCTATCAGGTGGCTTCTGAGAGCCGTCAGCTGTTCCAGTGTACCCTCCCCACCTGATGAGTCCACTGCCTGCAGACTCTGTACAACAGAAAATCTTTATTATAAATCAGACAAATCAGAGAAACAATTTTTACAACTAAGCAAGAGGTCACTTTTGGTGTGGAATCATCAAGTGCCATACTGTAAATGGATTCAAATAGGTGTTAACCCTTTCCCATGGAAAAATTTCAGAACCGAATGTGATTCATACTTGAGAGGAGAATCGAGTTTCCCTATTAATATGACGAAACTAATAGTTTCAAGACCAAACTCTATAGAAACAACGATTTATAATTATTTTTTGTACTGCTGTAGAAAAATATATTCAACCTTATGTTTCCAATACATAGTCAATGATGCAACTAATAAAGTTTTAATACAGCTATTTCCTTTTTCCTGCAGGTTAAGGGTTAGTATTTAACTAATTAAAAACTTCTACAGGCTCCTGTCTTATCTAAATGCTTTTAAAAGTTGCATGGCACTTTACCCAATTTTTAAGTTGTATGGCCTAAGTAGTTATGATAGGAGAGGATTTTATGGATAGTTCCAAATCCATGTAATTGGGGTGGTATAATGTGACTTGCTAGTGAGGGGGGGGGGTGAATGAGAGAGATTGATAATGGAGAAATTGGGGGAGGAATTAGAGAAATGAAGCAATTTTTTGGGGGGGTGAGAGAGAGAGGGGGGTAGAGAGAGAGAGATAGTACGAGAGTGTGAGTGTGGAGGAGGGGGGGGGGGTTATTGTTCACGATGATGTCATTGTAGTGGTGATTGTTGATGGAAGTGGTGGGGGTATGATTGTTCTTGTTGGTGTGATTGATGAGGGTAGGGTTCTGTATTTTTATAGGTACTTGTATTTGTATGTTGGTGGGTTTGTTGTGTAATTGAAACTGCAAGTGGTTACTAATTTTTATTATTGCTTTATTTTGTATCACTTCAATTACTCTGTTATATGTGAAGTATTATATGTTAATACTTTCAACATTATTTCCTGATGATATTGAAACGGACATTAAAAAATATAATGCTTTATTCCACTGTCAACTAAGTCGGTAAACAAAAGAATAAAGGAAATAAATAACTTTCAAGCTAAAATAAAAAGTAATAATCGTAGAAATATAGCTTTATGTAGCCTAACACAATGTTTAAGGTAAAAAAAAGAGAAAGCTGTAAATTTCAACTAAGGCAAATTTGAAACAGAGAAGATAAAAAGAAACACTAAAGTTCTACAAAACACTTAAAATAAAATAAAAAGTCCTTTGGTTCTAAGTGATAGATTTATTGTGTTTCTGGTATAATAATAATATAATAACCCAAAAATTTAATTCGTTTAAACTAATAAAATTTAAACTTAATTGTGTAGGCATGAGATAGTACCGCTGAAACTTAAATTTGAACAGATTCGCGCGTTATGGCAGGAACAACGTTACATTTCCGGCGGCGCTGCCAGCGACGTCACAAGTCTCACGAATTCCGGTTCCTGTTACGAATAACTAGTTACACATCGCGCCACCAGGAGCGAGGTATGCACCATAGAGTAATAAAAGGCAGTTCCTTTATATATATATATATATATATATATATATATATATATATATACAATTATAATCTGAAAACACGTGACTAAGAATCTTCTAGTAAAAAAAAATGTAGGCAATGATACACAACGTAAAATAATTACGTACAAAATGTTTCCTCAAGATTTTCTACTAAACCAATTAAAGTATGCGACATTGAATGGTTCTATCGTTAATATAGTTACGTTTAAGACGAGAAAACACAAGAAGGACCATAATGAACTGTAATACTCACGCTGATCAATGATAATTCAATTTCCGATTTTGGCAATACTGTACTTACTATTTTTAAAATATACAATTTAAAACCTTGAACATATAGGTGTCATACAACAATGACATCACAAATTGGTGGCACGAGATAGTGATATTAAAAAATTATAGATATATAACAATATTAACTAGAAAAATCGATATTCGGTGCCGTGCGACAATGACATAACAATCGGCGTCATGCGACAGTGACAACTATTCGGTGTCGTGAAGTTCGGTCTCGTGCCACTAGCCTCTTGACACCTCCGGCACGTCAGTCCACTTCCGACTCATTAGATAGTTTTCAGCTTCGGCATGAGATACCGCTAAATAACTGTAACTCCATTCTTGACACCGCACGCGCGCGAAGTTCATTGAATCTCTGAGGTAAACATTTTAAACGAAACCAACGAAAAAGTCCTATTAAAATAGTTCTACACAATACGAATTTTAGGTCACTGAACAATCCATTAATTTTTTATGAATACAGACTATAAACAAATATACTTATAGAGTTTTGCATAATATTGGTGTTACGGTACAGCATTATAAAGACCTAGCAGTAGGGTACCCTTACTTTACATTTTACAGTTAAGATCAATCAGAAATTTTTAACGATATTTAGATACCAATTTATTTTTATAATAGTACAATTTCACGTGAACAAATCATGAATGATTGACCAGTTTTTTTTCAACCCATTGCATTACGAATTACCTGTTTCAAGACCCAAGCAATCGTACCAAAAGGATTTCTCAATAAGACAATTGATTTGAGGTTGAGGCATCTAAGAGTTAAATTTCGTCAACATTAAGGCATGTAAAGTAAAGAAATACATTCCGTCAACATCGACGCTATATTTTCAAGTAAATCAAATTCAGAATCCTTCTCAACACCCGATATTGAATACCGATAGATTTTTTACTGAATGGCTGGGAAGGTACGGAGTTTACCGAATGTTTGTTCGGAAGCGCCCGACAAGACAGCGGTTACGGCGAACCTCGACGGCGGACTTTTCAAATTAAAAGTTGCCCGATACTCGGAGTCGGGGATAATTGACCTAGAAAGGTGCAAGTTGAGTTAACACGATAGGTACAGTCAGCGCCACGGCCAATAGACCACCGCTGAATCAATTAGCTGCTGCACAGACTGTACCAGTGAATGAACCTCGGTTGTAACGTAGTAGAAGTTGAATTGATAATCGAGAGCACTTTGAGTATTTTTCATTACTTTAGGAGTAGCTCAAAAGTGTTCAATTACAACTACACACTTTGTAGCCTATTCTTGTAAAATAAACTCATGGACTTACTAAATGTGATATCATAGCCTTTCTGTAAAACCCCACGCAATAACGTACGTTAACAATTCAATTGTTATTATTCAAATTAATTACTACAATATGATCGTGTTCTCCAAATGATTGTTTGACACTGCTTTGAATTTACTTTTTGGTATAGTTTATCATGATAATTTGTAATTCAAGAAACATACATGTATTCGTATTCGCTAGTTGTATTTATCCATGGCAAAAAAAACAAAAAAACTCCAAATTAAGTTTTAAATGAAAAATAATAAATCTTCGAAAATGTGTTTAAATACTGTAATGCCATCAGTACAGGTTACTTTTGAGAGGTACGTAACATTGGAATCAAGACACATAAAGTGGAAAATATCGAACAATTGTGATCACGCGCAATGACAAAGTAGACAAAACATAATAAAATCACAAACGAAAACACATAACTTCAGATCTCAAGAACAACGGTCTAAAATTAAGAGACACAGAGAATGTCAATAAGGTAAGTCGGCTGAGAAAGTTAAGTCAAACTTACAATTTGACCCTGAGTTATCCCAAGTCCTAACTTATGTCCTAATGAAGGCAATTCCAGCTCAGGGAGATTTCTAGCGTGAGTGGTCGACTCTGCATTCGTAGTTTCCGCGAAACACTAAACGTTTGTAATTGTTCAAAACCAATTACCACTTTATGCGCAACTTTGGGCTTGGCGCAAACAAATTCTTCGGCTGACACGAATTCGAATAATCGTCACAAATTGCGGACGATTATCTACGCTTGAAGTTTCGAAATTGCATTGTGTAGTTTTTGTAGCAAATTAAACATACGTGCAACAAGAAATGATTGAGCAATGTTAAACTGATATTTAACTCAGTTCAACATTTGCATGGTTTTGAATATCACGGTTTACATAGGTGGGCCAAATTAGTCAGCAAACCTTTTACTAGAATAAATATTCAGCTTTGACAAAGACAACGACAGCAGTTCGTCATAGGAACAGTAAACAAAGAGTCACATGCATATGTACCATAAACTCATGGCATTTAGGTAAACTTAGGCTACGCCTCAAAGAACCCGAGGTAAGTAAATAGAGCTTAGGATTCTTTAGTTTGTACTAATAACTGACATCTTAAAAACGAAATATGAATCGCAAATTTATTCATATCATGCAGCGGTTAAAGCGCGAACAATTTTCCCTACAATTTTATAATCTCAGTTTCCAGCCACAAAATTAATATCGATCAACACGTGAGTGACAACTTTGATTGTAAACGACATCAAAAAGACAGCATTCAGTCTTAATTTAACAGTCCCCAGCTTTTTTTTTTTTTTAGGGAGAGGAGGGAAAATGCTTTTACGCACACAGGTAGCCAGCCTGTAGTGTGAGACTCCTGAAATTATCAGACTACTCACTAAAAAACCCCCTCTACTCTGTTGGACACAGACCTGGAATTGTTTGTCACATTACTTCAAGTCAGGCCAACATGTGACCTAAGCCCTCAGGGCTCGCACCGTTTCTGGCATTTTGATTCTTTATGACTTACACCGCATCCCGGTCAAGGTCGATCTTCTTGGCGCGGAGGATACCCTGGATATAATGTGACACACAGGTCCAATTGTCCGTCATAATCGGTATGACCGTGTCCACCGACAGCAGTCCTATTAACTGTTGAGCCTCCAGGCGGGGCCTTTCCCAGCGCTGGCAGTGGAAAAATGTATGTTCCACGTCATCGAGAATGCCTGGGCAGTATATGCAGTCGGGAGACACGGCTTTGCCCATCCTGAACAGGTACGACCGGAAAAAGCCGTGTCCCGTCAGAAATTGGGTGAGGTAAAAGTCCACCTCTCCGTACCGCCGATCAACCCAAGGTTGGACTTGCTGTATCAGTCGCCTGGTCCAGAGTCCCCGTGTCTCC